CCGCTGAAGTGCTCGTGAGTGGGTCGAGAGTCCTGTAAGTGGGGCTTGTGCCTCGGCTTCTTCACACTTGTTGCTTGTCAGGGCAGGGAGACCTGCTGCTGCACCTAACATCTGTTTTATGGGTGCGATAAAGATAGTAATTCCTGCCCTTACACAATAGAAGACTGAGGAGCATTGCCTTGCCTTGCCTGAAAAGCACCCCGTGTTTTTATACGTGTTTATAAACACTGCAGTTGTCAGCAACAGATAATCTAAATTGAATTCTGGCCGCAATAAAATCTGATATTCTCAAGTGAAACTTTTAGTTAAAGAAACTTTTTTTAGGTTTGTTTTTTTTTTTTTTTTAAACAGAGAATCAGATGTTCATCTCTTGTATATTTGGGATAGACAACAAGGAGGGTGAAGCCTGCAGTATTTGACTAGATGACAAGCAAGATAGGACAGCTGTTGTTTTACTGAGTTTCTGAAGCAGTGTGTTCCTTTCTTTTTTGTAACTGTCTTGACCTTGCAAGTCTGTTGACTTAGTGGCTTTAGTAGATGTCTGTGTTGGCATATGGTTAAGAAAACCCTTTCCCCTAACACCATATCCTAACTTCCTTGACTTTGTCACTTTTTGTATGTAAACTATTGTATGCACCTGCCACATAGTAGAAAAGTTTTTAGGTATTATTGCTTAAAGATACATTTTGTTCTTAGTGCCGCATTGGAATTCTTCAGGCAACTAAATTGTTTTGTATATCGGTTTTTAGAAGGGACTAGGCTTTTAAAATTGGCTAGGTCCTTTGGGCAAAGCCTTCTGGGCATAATCTGGTTTCCAAGAGTTGAGTTCTTAAGGTGTAATTGAAGCTGTTTGCAGGCTCTTGTTGTAGTCGGTGTCAGGGAATATTAAATTCTTAGTTACAGTCTGTCTATGGTCGTCATAAATCCATTTTGGAAATCAGTGAAGGACAGCGTACTGCACGGTTGTCTTTTTCAAGATTCCATAGTAAAATCCTCAGGTTTACGAGGCCTTTTTGTAACACTTCAGTACTGAGGCACTGTCTGTCTTTAGAGTATTAATGAGATTACTTATAATTTGGTGGTAGCTGCTGTAGCATAGGAAAAGATATTTCTGGTTGACAGAAATACATCTCATATCATGGAATTTGAGGTGCAGCATGGTCAAAAAACAAAGCCTATTTTCCTTTTTTATCTTCAGCTGTGAACAAATACTGTTTATATAAGAAAGGAAGTCATCGTGTTGTCCTTCTCCCCATCCCTCCCTTTTCACATAAGGGTACCAGCCAGTTCAGGTTAAGCTAGTTTTATGCTGTGGATCTTACATTAAAGAGATATCTGAAGCTTACACGTAGTAAGTTATACTGCGACTCTTTAGCCTATATGAAGACTGAGCGTGCATTAGTAGGCAGCCTGAAGCTGAACAAGAAGTTCACTGTTGTGTTGGAAGTGTAAGATCATTTGCTAAAATGTGGAAATGACTCTCTTGTCTAAGCTGACAATTTAATGTTATTAAGTAAGCCTACGGATAAGGTTGTTGGCAGCTTCATGGTACCATTTTTTTTAATAGGTAACCAAAAACCTTGGGGAGTAACCCGCTGAGGTGGAAAACTGAATTGGAATTGGTGATGGAGGTGTGTGAAGCTGTGTCCCAAGTCTGTCCATGTTTTCAAAAGGATTCTTCCTGAGTATAAATCAGATATGAAAAACAATTGAGTGTGAAGTGCAAGGTTTTTTTTTGGCATGCTCCTGAAGCAAAGCCTTTCAGGATGAATATCCCTTCGGCCTATTTTTATCTCTTATAAGTATGTTTTCAAAATGAAAACAAAGCTATAGGATCTTAAATTGTATCAGATTTTCAGCAGAGCCTAAACAAAGGGTTCCCCCACCTTTGCACCAGTGGAGTTTTACCAATGGCACTGATACTGGTGGCATTACTGCAAGTTTGCTCAAGTGGTTAGTGTGTTTTTGGCAGTTGTGGGCAAGATTCAGACTTGAAGCCTGACTTCTGATACAGATTAAAGAGGCTGGACCTTTATGAAGAAGTTTGAAAAGCCTGTGCTTGCTGTAGGCAACAGTTTCTGTTGATTTGCCATGAAGGAAAACTGATGGGAATTGGCAGGGCATGTAATGCCAGTGATTTTAATATCTGATCTTTGTAGCTTTCTTATGTTTTCAGTTGAATGTTCAAGGAGGTGTGTCAAGCATTGATGTCCACAGATACTCAATATTAGGCATTACAATTTTGCAGGTTTTACAGGTTTCTGGTTGTGTAATCATATTTTTGAAGACACTGGGTGAAGAAACAAGGCTTGATTTCATCAGCGGAGATGCTGTCTGTGCATGAGGAAAATCTCGATACGGAAACTTGAGGAGGTCATTGGCTTATTATACCATTAGAATTCAGATGCTTAAATAGAAGTAGGACCGAAATGGAAATAGCAATTTTGAGTATTTATGATTTGAAAGTCTGTGTCTGAGTCATTCACTGGCTTTTCTGGCAGACAGTGTTGGTAGATTTGAAAAGAGGTTGTTACACAAGATAATGGTAGTGATTATGAAAAAGTTCCTGGGAGGGTGTTTAAGGGGAAAACTATGACTTTAAGCAGTATCATTCTCTGGTAAAGCTTGTACTAAACAACTGTCTTATCCTTTCTACAAGGCATTCTATTTCAGCTAGTTGTACTTAACATGGTGACTGGTGAGCTTTGCTTTTTAAAGCAGTATGTTTGTCTAGACCAGTTCCAATAAAGAAACTCTCTTTCAAAGAGCGAGAATATGGTAACAATCTCTAGTATTAGTTTTGCTTCTTTAGATAACAGGTTTCTGAAATCATTTTTAACTTTCATTTTTGCATTTCAATACACTTCTGCTGTTAGAAATCCAGTTTCCTTTTTGAGTAGGATGCTGCAGAGCAAGGAAGAGGTGAGTTGCTTCCACATGTTTCCTGTTGCAGGACTTTGAAAAGAATGACCTCTTGCCTTCTGTGTGCCAACAACTAGGACTAACAGAATCAGACTTTTATCACTGAGTAATTGTAAAACTGAGCTGAAGTATAACTTGCCCAGCGATTCCGTACTTTTTCTGGCAAGTTTATCTCAATGATTTTTTCATGAAAAGAAAGTTTCTCTTAGCGCAGTTTGAGGACAAAATTTGAGGTTTACTTTGAGGGCACAGTGACAGTCTTTTTGTGTACAGAACATTACTCACCACATTGCAATGTGGCAGTTGGTGTGGTGATAAGCAGTCAGCCTCCCTTGGGGAAGGAGGTGCCACAGCTCATGCTGTTGCTGCTTTGTTTTGAGAAGTAGCAACTAACTTGAAGCGAGGGCACATATGCACAATTAAGGTACTCAGAATTTTGAAGATGAAATATTGCAGATTTAAATACTAGCTTGCCAGCTAATTTAGGATGGTTTTCAATTACAACTTCTGCTTGCTTTTGAATTTTCAGCACCTCATGGAAATGTCTCTATCCTTCACTGTTTTTTGTTGAGTGGTATCTGTTTGAGTCAGGATATAGTCAGGGCAGGAAGAAAATGACTATTTCAGTTCTGTAGATTTTTTTTTTTATTTTTTTGTAGCTTAAATAATGGGCTCTTGAGCAGATGAATATGATATAGGGACGATGGGTATAAAATAAAGTTAGTTGAAAGTTGTATTTGTTATTGCATATAGTCATGATTGCTTTTGTATTCTAGAGTTACTGATCTCTACTTCTCCATTGTAACAGAAAGAGAGGAGGAGAAACGGTCTCCTTCTTGCGAAGGAGAAAGTCTTTTTCTGGCCCATGCAGGATTGTTTAACATTCGAAGTAATCTGCACCCAAACTGTATGTGTGTCAGAGAACGTTTCGGAACTTCTCAGTACTGACTGGTGGCCAAATTGCTTGCAGAATGGCATCTTTGAATGTTTAGGTAAGTATGAGGGGATATGTAATTATCAGAGTAGAAAAACTTGCAGCATGATTCTGATGGATTTCAGTAGCCATGACAGTGCGGTGGAGTCTGCTGGAATATGCCGGCTGCTGTAACTCACTGTGAACAGGACTAACTAAGCCTTGTGAGAACAGAATAAAAAGTCAGGTACTACTTACAGAGATAAAGTATTGGAATAAGCAGAGCTATAATCACTGGCTCTCTAAGGTGTCTTTAGCTAGCAGTAAGCAGGAGTAGACAATTTGCTTGAAGGAATGAAGTGAAGGACTATTCTGCACGCTTAAAATGAGTATTGCAGTGTTACAGGGGCAGAGTTAAGTACATTAGAAACTTCTGTTGGGACTTGGTATAGGAAATGCTGTTTTCTTTTTTTTACCCTACCTTATTTCCTTTCTGGCAGTATTTCATCTGAAAACATTTAGTATTCATACTTCTTCATGTAATACCGACAACTAAAGTTATGCTGTAGATTTCATAATGTTACAAAACTGCCTGCATTTGAAAAGGTCATCTAAAAATCTAACTGTCTTTACTAGCATGAATGTTTTTCTGAATGCAGCCATGGCCGTTTGCCTTTTTTAAAAAGGCATGGTTAGACTGGCTTATCTGAAGTACCTCAAAGCCATTCTTCTTACCTTTTCAACCAATTTCCCTCCCTCTTCTTAACCAAACTAAGTGTTCTTTTCCACCACCTTTTGGCTCCTTTACTTAGAGGACTGCAGTCTACTTTGACATCTATCTTCAAACAGAGAAATTGTACTGCCCTGTTGGGGTCTGGAGGGAGAGAAGATAGCATATGTTCTATTAGAACTGCTTAGAGGATGGCTGGATCTGTTAAGCAATTCACCGACAGCTCTTGGGAAAGGGTGGTTTTGTTTTTTTTTTTGTCCTGTTCATAAGATCCCTCGTTGGGCTTTGGCCTGTTTTAATGACAGCATTCTGCTGAGGTTGCTGTTTTAGCTCCTTAAGGATATTTTTGTCAAGTATGACTTTCTCAAAATGCTGTCCTAAGTATAGTGTAGTAAACTGGATGTTTAACCTGTTTATTCAAAGATCCATGTTCTTCTTGTGGGAACATACCATGGACCTTCTCCCTATATGGAATGTTTTCTTCATTGAGTTCTGCGGTCTTTGTTAAAGCTGCTTATTTGTGCTCTTCTGACTTCTCATGTAAACTGCTTGATGATACTAGGTTTTGGGACCTGCTACCCTAAGGACTTCAAGCCAACCTAAGTCTATATTTTGAATTTTCATAAAATGGAGAATTTCCTATGAAAATGGAATAATTGAATTCAGTTAGTAGAAGCTGCCTTCTGAGAAGGAATGCCACCCCTGACTTCTTAGACTTAATCTGAATTATCAAATTCCTTTAGCCAACTCTGAGCTCCTGTCTATACTAGAAATACCTATCTCTGTATCTCCTAATCTGCTGTGAGAGCTATTTTAAAAACACATGCAATGTAAAGATAAGTACAGCCAAGACTGGTTAGCGGTCTTGCGATTATTGCCAAGCTTTTAACTGCAAAATCTTAGAATTTGGAATGTGAAAGAGGATAACTAGTAGGACTTGAGCTGAAGTGCCACTGAACATGCATTTCGGCTTCTCTGAGCTGGCAGTTTAGTCATATTTTTATGAAGAATGCTATGCTGCATTTCATAGTGGACTGCATTTGAGATTTAGTGGTTTCCAGGCCCTGGTGTAAACTGAAGCATGCACTTGTTTTGTCTTTCTAATGCTTTAAGTCTTGGTCGTCTTGGCTGGTGGAATTTGTGGGCTTGGATTACATAGAAGAATACTAGTTGTCCAAAGATAAGTTAGTGCTGGTGAAATCTGGTGCTCCCTGACATTATGGGCTGTGATAAAACTAATTTATTTGCAAAGAACAGTGTATGTTCCAGGTATGTTTTTTGTTTTGTTTTTGTATTAGGTTTAAGTGGTTATTTAGGTTTCCTGATATATTCCCTAGAACAGGATATAACATTGCATGGTTGCCAACAGCTGTACTTCACTGTTCTCAATATTAGTCTTTTATGCAAATAGTTTTTTTTCTTTTCATGGACCATAACTATAAAAATGAAAGGAAGAGCCTATTCAGACCTCATTTAAAAAAAGCAATGTGGCAAAGTGCCAGCTACTGGCACTTGTAGCTTGTTCCCCTTGAATGGGGAACAAAATGGACTGATTTCTGAGGTGGGTGTCCGGAGAGATGAAAACAAGCATAGCAAAGTCGACAAAAGCTTTACTTAGTGGCTTTCTGGACTTTGTATACACAATCAGTCCAAAGAGGAGGATGCTGAAGAAGGCCTGTGTCCTGATAATCTTGATGCCTATGACTTATGTGCTGCTGCACTTTGACTGCCTGCCCTTGACCTTTTTAGTAATTAAAAACCATACTAATTCTGCAGAGTTACAAAAATGTCAGTTCAATAATGAATATGTTATGAAAGTCCTTTTTGTTTTGTGTGTGCATGTTTTTTGTTTTTTCCCTAGCTTCCCTGATGCAGTGAAGGAAGCTGCTAGGTGGCTTACGCTTGCTTTGTAAGGTATCTTGTAGAGGCAATTTTCAAATATGTTTTGGGTATAGAAGAGGAATTCTAACTTTTTCCAACAATTAGTTACCCATTTTACTCCTGTGAAGGATATAAAAGGACAAGTATTTTCTTCTAGTTCTCTTTGTAGATCATTCCACAGAAATAGGAAGTATAATTCAGCAAAGCTTCCTTTGCTTTTTATTAGGCTTTTTGTAGGTGTCCTGGCAATCTTCCTTCAACTAGGAGTGCAGAGAAGGAAGATCAAAAACAGAACGTTAAAACAGTCTGGGTAACAAAAATCCAATGTTTGATTCAGTAAGAGGTGACTTGTTGCTAAAGTAGTTGAAGACTTGTGTGTTGGCTTTAGCTACTGTATCGGTAAAATTCTCTTCTAATTTGGCCTTCATCCGTCTCATAGTCTGAAGTGTAAAGTTAGGACATTTCCTATCTTCTGCCATAAAGTCATAATCAGAATTTCAAGTTAAGGTATTTGCTGTTGAGCAGGAGAAACTGACCAAGTTTCACAAGACTTGCATAAATGTCTTCTGTCCTAAACATTTAACTAGTATGTGATGCTGTTGAAAGTGCCAGTTAATGTCAAATGATTTGGAAGGACTCCAGTATGCGGGTCAGTGTGGGGAAAAGGAGATGATACACAAGACTATCTGCAATGATACTGGAAAAAAATGTAAAATATTCGGATAAGGTCAGGGTTGATGTAACAGCGTGGCTCTGCATGTCTGTAAGTAAACTAGGTCCACCTTGGATTTTGAGCAGCAGAGTCTTGAATGCTGTGGAAAAGTGGTATAAGATGCTGTCAGAAGGACATCAGTTTCTCGTTCTGCATTTTTCTGTATTATTTAACTGCTCCAAATCGACCCCGTGTCACACATCACAGTAAAGTCATTGTGAAAAACGAAGCATGATCACGAAACCCATGACTGTTCTCCTCTGAACACTAATGTCTTGGCTCTGTTTCAATAGTTCATTATTATATAAGTGCCTTAGGGTTTATCTGCCTGCAAGACTCACATGAATGTTGTGTGCAGTCTAAGATCATTGTCGAAAAGGTACAGTTCCACATTCCTGTTCCTTTACCAGTGCAGGCGGAGTGTCCAGGAGTTTTTAGCGCTACCTGCATACTTTTTTTGCATTACTTTTTGCGAAATTTTATTCCACGTAGGCATTAAAACTCCCCTAAAACTTGGTGCTCCCTTCTTGGAGATCCTGTTATGAGGTAACAGAATATTTGAACACTTTCTCATTTGAAGCCAAAGGGACTCCTGAATTAGATAGTAGTCTAAGTTATGTCTTTGTAATAAATGAGCAGTTTATAAGCATGTTATTTGTTAAAATGCAAAGTCACAGGTGACAGCGGTGGTATTTGGGGTTGACCAAAGCAGTTGCATAATTCCTGTTGTAGAATGACTTTTAGTCATACTGATGATGGAGTAATTAAGAATTACTGGCACTTAAAATTAATTACTAGGAAGACATAAAAAGAAAAGGTGTAGAATATATGCATTATTGCTGCTTGCTTTTGAGGCTGCTGCTGTAAGGGATGTGACAAATAATAGACCTATATCAGAACGTTGTGCTGATGGTGATCCAGTTGCAAAGGAAATGTGAAGGATGTTTGTGCTAAAATGACTCTTCAAACAGGAGTAAAGGCTGCTGGACAGTTATTGAACTCTTGACTTAACTGGGCCAAAAGCCTTGATCATCTGGTAAGTACTCTAGAGATCTGATTATACTGGGAGGCAAGTGGTCTGTTGGTGGAAAACAATTCTGCTTTCTGTTTGAAATAGTAAATAAAAAAGCCGTACAGTTTCAAGTCTCTGAGTAACTGTTGGGTAAGACTTCATACAGGGTTGGGGCTGGCACTTATTGAGCATATTGTCATAAATGTAGTGTTTGAGCAAACTTTTCTCTTTCGTGTATTACTTGAAGTAGAGGTGAAATAGGTTAAGTAACTTGTAAAACAGTCCTTCCTCCGCTAGTGTGCAATCAGTGTCAGTTTGAGGCTGGCTTGTGAGTGTTGTAATGCTTTACAACTCTAGTGACACAGGACCTTAAGATAAACTCGGATTTCATTTAGGGAAACTTTTACGTTGTTTAGCAGCATGCCTTCAAATCAAGCAGGAAAAATGGAAATGAATTACAGGTAAAGTTTTCTGTGTTCCTTGCTGTTTTTGTGCTGTAGTATTTGTTATAGACAGTCTTTCTCAAGCTCTGATTTCAAACTCCCGTGTGTATGAAAAAGCAATATTACATGTAATTTGATAAAACTCCTTTCTGACTAACTTTAAGTGACCCAAAGCAGATTAACAGGTGGGTTAACGCATTTATGACTGTAATATATCTGCCTTGACAAACACTGAGGAGAGATTTGTTTCAGGGTTTGAATAACATATGGTATCTGGGGTTACACTGAAAGCCTTATGGTG